CCCGTCGTCAACTATTCCATGTACTACTCTATTGTGCCATGTGGGTTGTGAGATGACTTGATTATTTACATGTGTTGTAATACCGTGTGGCTTGTGGTGTTATATGAGCAAGATGACTCTCGAGATGCAGGTCATTGATTGCACCTTAGTGGCGCTTGGGTGTTTTTAGCGTACGACGCTATCCGTCTCCCCAGGGTTGTATTATGTACTTGGCGTGCTTGTGGTCGATATTCGAGCATTTCGTAAGTATAAGCATTATGGCTCGATGGGTGTTTCCTTATTGATTGTTATGTGTGGATCGGGTGGCACGCCACTAAGGGTATATTGTTTGGATCGAGTGGCACGCCGTCATGGGTATGTTGTTTGGATCGGGTTGTGCACCGCAACGATGTCATGTTTGGATCGGGTTGCACGCCGCAACGATGTCATGTTTGAATCGGGTTGCACGCCAAAATAGTGAGATGATGAGTACGGTTCCCTATACTTATTATTGTGTGTCTTGTTTCGCATCTCCCAGAAAGGCTTATAGCATCTATTGGCCGTTTTATTCATTATGTGGGCTGGGTAGTTCCTTATCGAAGTTCATTCTTCCTTATGAGTCATATTCGAATTGTACCTTGTTAGCGCTTTGATGGCGCTGTATGAGATTTTAGACGGTGTTTGAGGTGGCTTATTGCCCGAGCAGCTTGTACTGGATGAGACGAGGTTATTGAACCCGAGATCAGTGCGATCGGATTTATATAGAGTATATTAAAGAGAAAATATCGTTATTCAGTTCAGAATGAGGTAATGGTTCTTGTCAAGTGGAGAGACTCCATTATTTATTGATTTGGCAGGTGGTTATGAGTTTCTACATATCTCTTTCATCGTGGCAGTATTGCGAGAGTTGAAATATGGCTTATATGTGTTATGAGGTGTATTGTAGGCAACAAATTCGTGAAATTGCAGCTATGTTGGTCGGAGGATGTTATTATGGACAAACGACTTATGTGGTGCATGGTGTGATTTCAGTATAGGTGCATGATCATATTTTGGTACAATGTGTAGTGATTGATGCGGTGTTCGTATGTTAGAATCGAGTCTCGTGGAGAATTTCAGATGTTAGAATTTGGTTCTAAGGCTTGTTAGCTGAAGTTATAATAGGGCTGTGCATAATTTGATAAATACCGAATTATCGTACCGAAATCGAAAATTTGGTATTCGGTATGGTATTTGGTTTAAGTTTTAAAAACTATTGGTATTAGGTATGGTATTTGATATTTTAAAATAAAATACCAAAGTACCAATACTGCACCGAAATATATATTATATTACACAATACACATATTATTAATTATAACATAAATATAAAAATCTAAAATTTTACTTTCCCTTATTCTCTAAGTTTATCAGCTAACTCTATGTAAGTAACAAGATATTTCTAATGATCAAATTTATTTTTGTATGTACAATTTTCTCACTCTGGGTTGATAATTGCTAGTTTTGGACAAAACCTTAGTCAACAAATATTTTTATTTTTGTACTTTTGAGTACTTTAGTTTAGAATATTACAGTCTATGACTCTATGCACTAGTTAGTATTCAAACCGAATAAACCGAAGTCACCAAACCGAATAAACCGAAACCGAAAGGAGAAAAATCGAACCATACCGAATTTAATTAGGTACGGTATTGGTATTGCATTTTAAGAAAACGAATATCAAAAAATACCGAACTGAAATGTCTAAATATCGTACCGTACCGACCAACGAACACCCCTAGGTTATAGGGAGGATCTTCAGTTTGGCTTGAGCTAATGTACTCACATGGGTTGTGGTGGCATGGGTAGGTGAACGAGGTGTTAAATAGTGATTTTGGAAAGCTCCGGAATGGTTCTTAGCATGTTCGAGGACGAACGTATGTTTAAGTGGGGGAGAATGTAACGACCCAACCGGTCGTTTTGAAGTCTAGCGCGTTGTTTTGAGGTCTAGCGCGTCGTTTGGCGGTTTGAGGACTAGAGTAGCGTCACTTCATATTTTATGACTTGTACACGTTGTCGGAATTGAATTTTGGGAAGTTCGGAGTTGATTGAGATGGAAAATTCTCAATTCGGAAGCTTTAAGTTGGAAGAGTTGACTAAGATTCGAGTTTTGAGTAAATGACCTCTGAATCGAGATTTGAAGGTTCCAATAGGTTCGTATGATGATTCGGACTTGGGCATGTGTTTCGGTTGAGTGCCGGGTGGCCCGAGAGATTTTGGCAATTATTGTGGAAAGTTAATATTTTGAAAGTTTTAGAATTTCCTAAGTTTGATTTAAAGTGGACTTTGGTATTATTGATATCCGTTTGAGGTTTCGAGCCTTGGAATAGGTTCGTATTGTGATTTGTCACTTGTGCGTAATGTTTGGCGTCATTCCGGGATGTTTAAGTATGAATCAGACGCGTTCGTCGAAGTTTGAATGTTTAAAGAAAGATTTTGGCCGTCGATTCGTAGTTTTGATATAGTTTGATGTGATTCGAGGCCTCAAGAAAGTCCGCGATATGTTATGGAACTTGTGGGTATATTCGGACAGGGTTTTGAGTGGCTCGAGTAAGTTACAGACGTGGTTCAGATCGTTTTGTCTCTTGATTTCTCTGCTGAAGGGGTTCTGGTGTTGGCGCAACCGCTTCTGTAGAATTTTGGTCGTAGAAGTGACTTCGCAGGATTGGGCAACTCATCACAAAAGCGGGAAAAGGCTGGGTGGTGAAGGATTGCAGAAGCGACATTTTGAACGCATCTGCGATGGCGCAGATGTGGTTTCTTGGAGTGCAGAAGCGAAGGGAGTGCAGAAGTGGGGGTCGATTGTCGCACCTATGTTGTCGCAGGAGCGGGACCTTGTCCGTAGGTGCGAAGGGACGGGCCTCCATTGCTCTCTGCATAAGCGGACTTGTTGCCGCAGAAGCGGCCATTAGTTTGGCAGATGTGAAGATCGCTGGGCAGAATGCTTTGTTAAGTACATGATTTTGCTCTTTTATTTCATTTTTCACTTGGGTTGGCCGAATTTGGGGAGCTATTTTGAGGAAATTTTCATCGAACAACACGAGGTAAGTGATTCCCACTCATTGTGAGCTAAGTACTTGGATTATATATAGATTTTAACATGGAATGAGATAGAAATTTGTGGTATTTTTGGAGGAAAACATAGAATTTATATTTTTGGATTTTTACCATAAAATTGGACATGTAATTAGGGATATATTATACATTTGAGTTCGTGGCATTATGGGTAATGATTATTTTTAAGAATTTTCGAATTCCTGGCACGTGAGCCCGAGGGTTGACTTTGTTGACTTTTCGAGCGGAGTTGAGAATTATTAAAAATTATTAAATTATACGCATTGGAGTATCTTTTGATTGAGCACATTGTTTGACTAGTTTCGGATCGTTTATCTTTGAAGTGAAAAGTTAGAGAGGCATTGGAATCGGTTATGGAACTTCGGAGCGAGATAAGTCTCTTGTCTAACCTTGTGAGGGGAAAACTACCCCTCCTAGGTGATGTAATTATTATGTGCTACTAGTTGTGGGTGCTACGTACGCACGAGGTGAAGAGAGTCCGTACGTAGCTAAAGCATATTTATGTCCGGGTAGACTCAAGATTCTATCATATAATATTTGAATTATATAAACTCCATTTGCTAGCTTAATTAATTGAATTTGTAATTGAAATTGGTTTAGAAATATATATATATNTGTTACATTCACTTTATGCTCTTGTACCTGTATTGTAAGTACGTGCCTCGTAATTTGATAAGTTCCTTCCTTTCTTGTGGAGCAGGCAGAATGCCTTGGCTGTATATTGAAATGCATCTCTGGTTCGTGTCGGTCGACCCTTGCCAGTGTACACACCACTCTGGATCGGGTCATACGACCTCGGCATAATCGTGGGTTATATCGCTTGCAGTCCGAATATTCACGAGATTTTCCTTCCACTGATGTCTGGCATTTTATATGGTACTCCTTATCCATTTGATTTTGGAATTTGATGTCTTTATAGTTTTTGAGATAGGATACGAGATTGAGAAATTTATATCGTTAAAAGAAATTTTGAAAGATTATGTTAGTTACAATTTTTACCTCACTGCTACTGTTGTACTTCATATTTGTTTACGATTTATCATACTGCTTTACTAGAGCTCTAGTAAGTGTCGATGTCGACCCCTCGTCACTACTTCTCCGACGTTAGTCTAGATACTTACTGAGTACGTTTTGATTTACGTACTCATGCTCATTTCTGCACTAAATGTGCAGGATCTGACAGGTTAAATTGGTGGTTATCTTGGCGTGTAGGCACAACTGTTGAGGAGACTTTATGGTGAGCTGCATTTCAAGCTACGTATCGTAGCCCACAGAATCTCCATCGTACTGTTTACTTTATCCTATCTTATTTACATTTTAGATATATGTTGTATTATTATTGTACTCCTTAGTAAACGCTCATGCACTTGTGACATCGGGTTTTGGGATGTTCTAGAATTTATTTATGGTTTGCTTAACCTCGATACACTTTTACTTGTATATTATTTAAATCGTATTTATCTACGACTTTAGCGCATAAATGTCGCCACCTAACAAGATTCATGATTTTAAAAATATTAAAATGAATTATTAAGTTGTTAGTTCATCGTTGGCTTGCCTAACGGCGACGTTGGACACCATCATAACCTATAGTAGATTTTGGATCGTGACAGTTTCAATCTCCTCATTGTTAGATTCTTCCATTGAATGGTGTTGTTTTCCATGGTTTGCCATGAATTTGCACATCATACTTATTGTTCCTTGAGCATTGTTCCATTGTTGAGACAATTCATTGATTTGTGTCCGCATATTCTCAATTTCTTTGGGTGAAGCAGAAGCACCACTAAATAATGCGGCTTGACGCCTAGATGACGGCTGCACTCCAAGTCCGTAGACTCTATCTTTATTTATTTTCATGAGAAATTAAAAATAATATATTTAAATGAGCAAGAGATGAAACATACAACTTCTGCAAAAAATATTAAAATGAAGTCATATTGAAAAAATTACTAAAATATTTTATTCTTTTATTTACTCCACCGGCTGCCTGTATCTATATTGAAGTCATACATACGGGCGTCGGTTGAGAATCGAGTTGAGTTTGTTGCCACTACTCAATTCTTCTTTGATATCCTTCCTGAAATGTTGTTGACAAACATTATATAAACAAATTAATTTTAACCAAGAATAAAGGTAGTATTGAATTTAGAATCTTACATATGTCTCTGATGCACGCGGTTCGACCCATGCTAGTATTTCTCGGTTCAACGGCATAGACTGGGAGCACCATATCAAAATATTTTCATGCTTCTCCATCTGACGGATGACATAGCACACCATCTGGCCTTCTATGTTCATAATGCTATCTCATATGAAGAGCAGAATTCATTGATGCATACAACCTCTTTAACCTTGGTATAATGCGTAAGTAGTGCATCGCCTTCACTGGAACCTTCTTTTGTTTAGTATTTGTGACTTCTTTGTAACGTGGCTGGTTACAAAATTTATAATTTTCTAAAGCTGCATCATCTTTATAGAATAACATGCAACATTTCTCACAACAATCAATCCTTTCCGATGAAAGACCCAACTTGGAAACTAATTTCTTTGCCATGTAAAAATCTTTGGGCAAGTCAATCATGGTCGGATTAAGTTCATTCATAAGGCCAATGATAGAATCCATGCCCGCTTGAGAAATAGAATTATCTGATTTAATACTTAGTTATATAACTGCAACAGACAACTTGGAATACACTACGCCTTCATAAAGCAGACAACTAGCTTCCTTTAACTGTTTGAAGAAGCTCTCAGCCTCATCATTTGGTTTGGATTGAGTCCCAGGGAACATCTCAAAGGTATCCTTGATCATTTCATTAAATCTTGAATTTCAACATTAATATTCTCCGCTATGGGACTACCTTATTCACTACCAAAAGAGTTCTGAAAAAGCACTTCATCTACACTAGCATGACTCTCCCCATGAACAATTCACACATAATAATTTTCCATAAACCCCTTCTTATATAGATGAACAATAACAATATCGGGCCCCAATAATTTAAGACACTTGCATTTCATACAAGGGTACATAATCGTCCTTTCGATAAGAAAATCATCAAGTTTCTTTGCCTTAGCAATAAAGCTAGCAACCCCTTCTATAAACTCATCCCGCAACCCCGTACTATTTGAATGATTCCTATCATACATCCATCTACGATGCTCAAATTTCATCTACACATAGAAGAGAATTAGAAGTTGAAATATATTTATGTTATTTACACTAACTAATAAATTTTATTATATTCTTTAAAGGTTACTTATCTAAATAGTTTAATTATATATTTTATTATAATATGATATTTATCCATCTTATTTAATAATCTACAAAGGTTTTTGCATTTATCCAAATTCGATGCAATCCAAAATCATTAGTAAACTAAAACGCAACCTTAAACTTAATTCAATATCAAACTAATGAATTTCTTATATTTAATCAACTTTATTTTAGAATCATTTCATATGTTTACTTCACTATTGTTAAAATTATACTAGCTACATCATATTTCATAAGTTTACTCACGGGCTTCATTGTTATCAAACAAAAGAAACAGTCATAATTAACAAATATTTAAACTATTTCAACATATAAAAATTAAATAATTCAAATATCGTATAAAAATTAAGGCATTTAATTTAAATAGCATAATTTTTTAATATAATAAATAAAAGAAATTCAAATAATTGGTATCTACAATAAAAATTATGCAAAAAATAATTGATTAATCTACAAGAATAATTTAATAATTTACCAACTAATTTTTAACAATTCAACTAATTTTTCTAGCAATTAAGCCATAAAATAATTTTCAAAAAATTAAAACTAACCTTGCTATGAAGAAATCTATAGCTGGACGAGGTAAAGATGGTGGTGGCCGCTACAATCCAAAGCTTGTGGAGATGCTGGCCGCTACAAAAAAATAAAGTTAGGGTTCCTTGGATCCTGCCGCAACCTTGGAGAAGCTAGAGTTCCGTGCGAGAGAGAAGAAGAAGAGATGAGAAAGAGCTATACCTTGGAGAAGGGAGATGGTGAAAGTGCGAAGAAGCTCAAATTTCCCGATGGGGCAGAGGTGGGAGGTGGGAGGCAGAGGAAAAATGAGAGGAGGAAAAAGAAGAAAGAGAGGAAGAGAATAGAAGAGAGACGGGGAGGTTTTTAAAAAAAAAAAAAGATTTTCGACCGCTTCGTTTGAAAACATAAAATATTATATAATTTAAAAAATATTTCCGACCGATTTGGTCGGTAAAAGCACTGACAAGTCAGGCATTGAAATTCACAGCAATTTTCGACCATATCGGTCGGAATATTAAAAAATAATTATTTTATATTTTAATTTTTTTCCAACTGATTCAGTCGAAAAGCTAAATCTAATCAAACTCCGGAATTTTTACTTTTATTGACCGACTGAATCGGTCGAAAATTTAATTCCCGCAATTTTGCGCCAAAATTAGCGACCAAAATTATCGGTACAAGAAAATATTTTAAGAAAATAATAAATAATGTTTTTGGCTATTTTCGATTGAAACGGTCGCAAATTTCCGACCTCTTTTTTCGCTCAAACTTTTTCAGTCGAAATTTAGGCATTTTCTAGTAATTTGTATTAGAAGTTCGGAGATTAAGCTATTTAAAGACAAAATTGCCTTTTTACAGTAATTGCTTCATGTATTGCAAACTTCATTATTAATCAGTGCATAAATCATCTTTACGTTATAATCCCTGCATAACAAGTATGTAAATCAACCGACCGTTATAAATGTATGTAATCCAAATCTTTTTTTCTTTTCAGTGAACTCACGCTTTGCTCTATGAAACACAATTTCTATTTATTTCAAGATAGACAGGTTCCATCACTAAAATGCACACATTTTATCAGTCCGACTAATTTACTTGCCTACTAGTTCAAGAAGAAATGGATGCCTCATAATATTTGAATTTCTGAACAAGGTTATTCTATATAGTTTACCAAAATATGTGGGCTTTCTCTCAAAAGTTACTATTCACTGTTTTTCAATGGGAATTTTACATAACTGTCACAGTTTAAAGAAAATATAATAAATTCTTAGCATGAAACCCAATATTACAGTTGTGGCAGAAAAATATTTATATTTGTAGCACACAGTTTCATTAAAATAGGAATATTAATTATTAATCCTTAAACATAAGCAATTTGAATGGAAAGTCAATAATTCTTTGTACAAAATCATGCCTTTTTTTTCTTTATATATTAGCTTTTCTTCTTTTTTTCATCTTCTTAATTTTGTTTTCTGTCGAAGCTAATATATTTTCTAAATTTGTTCCATTCGTTTTCTTTTTAATTATCTTTCTTAGGTTTTTATCTTCCTTCTTTCTTCCTTTCTTAACATAAAAATTTTACTTCGATAATAATATATGTTAATATATACAAAACATATATATAAAAAATATATATTGAATTAACACATATAAAATAAAGATAAAAAATACATCTTCAATTAAGATGACACGTAGACATGCGAAATATACATAAAAAAATATATCTTAAATTTAATTAAGATGGCATATAAATATACAAAACAAAAATATACATAATAAATACATCCTGAATTAAAATGGCACTTGACATATAAAATGTATTTGAAATATACATTAAAAATACGTCTTAAAATAAGATGGCACTTCACAAATAAATATACAACAAGTATATACTTAAAAATACATTTTGAATTAAAGTGATACTTGATATACAAAGTTTAAAAGATATAAATCAATATATCTTGAATTTAGGTGGCATTCACATATGCATCAGATTTTCAAAAATGGAGTGAAGAAGATAAATGTTGGAAATGGAGAATGAAGATGGACAAAAAAGTACTTCCTATGATTAGTGAGTCAGTTAATTTATTAAATATTGAGCTTAATTTTATAATATACTAATAATGAAAAAAAGTGTTCTTTATGGAATAAACAATAAATAATGCTATTTTTTTAAATAATAGTTAAAAAATGATCAAGCGTGTAAAAAAGCCTTTTTCGTTTTCGATATGCTTTTGACTAGATTTCCACTGCATCTTTAATAACCATATTTTTGTAAGAATTAAGAGAGAAATTAAAACTTGGTCCGACATGATCAACATTACCAGAAAACAAAATATAATTTATTTTTGAATAATTTGATGCTGCTGAACAGCAAATCAAAGATTTTTGTAAAAGGACTGGGAAAAAAGAATTGGGGCAAAATTGCAAACTTGGTTACTTGTAAAAAAAGTAGCATTGCAATTGTCCAGGAAAGTGCCTACTTCTGATAGTGGGCCTGGTTTTGAAATTAAGAATTAACCCAAATAATCACTCACCTAACCGCTTAAATTAAAAATAGCCGGTGGAAATATAATATATACATAATTTATGTATTATATATACATAATTGTGTATAATCAATGTATAAACTATGTACATGGTTAGAAAAAGTAAATAATCAATATAGCCGGCTAGTTGTGTAAAAATCTCTTTTGAAATTGGTTTCTGAAACTAATTACATTGAGTTGGTTTTAGCGTGTTAGATTTGGCTGGTTTAAAACATAACGGTCCAAGAACCAACTTCCTTTGTTGCTTTTACATATATACAAATGTAAATATGCATTATTTTCTCCTCAGTAAATCTGAAGATAAATGGCTGAATGAAGCCTCTGAATGAAAGATCGTGAAGTTCTTAATTTCAAGAGTATAAGGTTCATAGGAAAATTCTCTTTTTCTATTTATTCATTTTAGAACAAACTCATGTTTATGTTGAAGAGAATTCTGAATGTCATCTCTAAGCGCTTAATATTGTGTAATCGCATCATGTGAATATGCGATAATGTGACGAGTGATGGTCGATTGGTTTGTGAACAAGTTATAGCATAATTATAACGATGGGATCATAGTACGGGGATTAAATAATAATAAAATTATTTAGTGAATATATTTGGGCCATTGAACTAAAAATGAGATATACTATATGGTATAATATAAAATATATATATATTTAATCTGACACTAGATAAACTCGGATAAACGACGATTTTCAATTTTTACCTTTGGCTTTCTTATAGACTTTAGGAGAAGAGTTTTGAAGAAGGGCATTTATTATCATTTTGTTGTTTTATATGGCAGTAATCCTCAAATTGTTATCTCACATTGGATATGGTATAAAAATAATATCAAAATTATAATATTAAAATACTACCACAATTATGATATACATAATCTCTAAATTCTTATAGTAGGATAAAAATTCAACCAAATACGAGGTAAGATAACAACTCGTTAGAATAAGGGGTCCATAGTAACAATTCATCATTTCCTTCCAAATGTCCATTTTAGTAAATAATCAGGTATTATACTTGGACTAAGTATCAAGTTGATAATTTTTCTCAGGCTAAATGCTTAGATAGCCCCTTAAACTTAGTACGTACAGTTCACAGGCTAAGTATCAAGTCGATAATTTTGTAAGGCTATCGTACAGTACGTGCCAAGTTTAAAGGGCTATCTTGGTATTTAGCCGTATTTTTAGCTTCTTCTTCTTTTCTCGAGCCCAAGCATCATATACTGCAAGGTACAACTAATCAAAGCCGTTTAAGAAATGACATCTCTCTCAGGAATTTCATCGAACACCTCAAGCGCATTCTTGAAATCGCCATTTCTCATGTAACCAACAACCACCATGGTGTTAAACTCAATCTCGCAAGCTCCACAAGTCCAAACTTAGAATGCATATCGATAACAGCAGCACCCCACTTTCACATTCGATGTACCAAAAGACTCGTTAAGTCATTTAGGTAAGTTTCTTGGAAGCATATTTTTAGCACCCTTAATTTCACTGGTCGTTCATTGCAAAATTGCCCTCTACTTTTGGCTCCACTAAAATCTGGGTGGCTATGCCTATGACTATTGACTTCTACGAATAAAAGTTCCATGCTCTCGTCAATAAAGGAAAAAGGAAAAAGTATAGAAAGGAAAGACTACACGTCCAACTTAGTTGGTTTGTCTTAGTATATAAAATCCAAGGTGGAATTACGATAATTGGAAGCTGGATTTTAGTCATTTGTGGTCGGCAAACTTTTTGGTATGTGTTGTGAAAAAGGTTTAAGTTATATATACGTCATCCGTATCATATTATGTGTCATGATTCTCTTCTGCACGTCCTTGCGAAAAATTAGTTAGGATGTAATTTTGACTAATTTACCCTTATTCATGTCTTAATATTTAATCTTTTTTCATTGAATATTTTCTCAATTTATGTGTCATTTCAATCAATGACATTATCCATATTTTTACTAAATATGAATGCAATTGATTTACTTTATAGAATATATGAAGAGACACCTAGGATAAAATTGACAAATTAGTAAAATTAACTCTTCCAACAAATATTGCATGAAATGGAATTCATTTTTCCTTCAAAATATTCTGGAGCCAAAAAATTCAACTTGATAGTTACTTTAGTCCCACTTGAAATAGACTTTATAAAGAATATTGGTGTTTACAGTATTGACTGCATCAATGTAAACATGATTAAAGTGTTTAAGATAACAAGGTTGACTTCTTGGTTTTTGATTAAAATTATCCGTAATTAATGTGTTTGTAGTCTTCTAGGACAATTATCACTAAGGGTATAAAAGAAAAATATAATCAATTTTGTCTTAAACTTCTAAAATGACAAATAATTTGAGACAACTATTTTTAGTAACCACGACCGTTAATATGAAACGGAGGAAGTACTTAATAGTGTAAAGAGGTTTTTTCCTTCTTATACAATATTTAAAACTTATTTATCAAAATTGTCCAAATTTTATATATTACCCACCCTAAACAAGTTTTTCTTACAATTTATATACAATCCATTATTAGTGCCTTAAAATAGGGGATTCTTTGCTTGGAAAAGGGCGTAACTGAAGGGAACGAAGTCCAAATTGTCCTTCCATCTAAAATAAGACTCCTTCCAATTGTGTGTTACCTATTTTAAGCCATAATTAGCGCAGCTCTTCTCTCTCTTTGCATAATTACCTGTTTTAAGAAAAGAATAATGCACAGTACAACAACATACAAATTAAAAATAAATTTCATACAAATTTAATACAAAATTTGATATATCTACAATAACATACATATTAAAAACAAATTTCATACAA